GCACGGCCGAGATTTTGTGCGGAAGGGGCAAAGTTAGGCCGAGCGGGTCCCGAGTGGAGAGGCCCACCCCCCGGGCTGTCCTGGGCCATCCGTCGCAGAGCCTCCTACCCCAAACCACGGCCACGCATTTGGTCCACAATTCCTGGGGACCCTGCCCAGATCTGAAGCTCTAACCTCCCAGGCCTGCGGATGTACCAAGACCCCATCCTCTTTCCTGGGTCTGCCCCCGCTCTCTCTGGGGGCCTGGCCCCCAAACGCCCTTTTCTAGGAGAAGTCGCCTCTCCCCAAACCGAGCTACTAGCCCCCAAGCCCCGCAGGCCTGTGGTACTGAGCAGCTCCGAGGGGAGACCCAGCTCAGGCATGGGCACTCCGGGGGCTCCCCAGATTCAGAGGCTCCAGAACAGAGGGGGTGGTGCCCTCCTTTAGCCCACAATCTGGGAAGGGGAGGGCGCTGAGCAAGTGCTGCAGCGGCCCAGAGCACAGGGAGTCTCCCCGGCCCTGGGTGGCGGAGCTGGAACGGTCCGGAGGAACTGGAGGGGTGGGGAAAGGAGAGAGGAGAGAGGTGGGGGAAGGAGAAGGGGGGGTGACCAAGAGGAAAGCTCACCCGGACCCAGCCCGGGGCATTAACCACCGAACGGCTCTTTGCAAACTCCCGCTACTCGCCCCTGCAGCCCCCGAGGCGCAGTCGGGAACTGGCTGGCCCAGTCCTTGAGCCCTCAGCTGCCACCAGACACCCGCGGGCTTGGGGCTGGAGAGTGGGCTTGAGTCCCCCCAGAGCCACTGCCTGCCCCTGGGCTGCCCCTGCCAGGTGCCTGTGGGCACAGAGCCCAGAGCCGCGGGGCAGAACCCAGAGAGCAGGCTGGGGGACGGGGGGGGGTGAACCCCGACTCTTCCATCCCTCCCGCCAGCACTGCCCTCCAGTGCCCGGGTTCCTGCCAGTGCCCAGTACGCCGGGCGCGGGCATGGCAGGAGGGAGGCTGCTTGTCCCGGCGGGCAGGGCGCATGCGGGTCTGCGGGTGCCCGGCTTGTATGACGGGCGGGCGTGTGTGAGCCAGCGGACCTCTCCGGGCCTTTGCCAGGTAGTGTATCCGGGGTGGAGCATACCTGTGTGCTCTCATGTGTCCCCGAGGTCTCCGAAGTCGGTGTGCCCGCGTGTCCCGTGTGGATGTGTGTTGTTGCTTGCCTGGTGTGTTGACCGTATCACTGGGAACCCGTGTGTCTGATTTTGCATCCAGGAAGGATCTGTAGGTGAGCGTGTGTGTGGATGTGTCTGTTCAAGTGTGTCCATGACTGTCCAGTGTGAGTAGGAGGGAGGGGGGTGGTCCCTGGGCAGCCAAGAGCTCAGGATCCGCTCTGAGCTCTCCGACCCCAGAAGGCTGGGGGCCTCGGTGTAGGGCAGAGCATCTCCGGGGGGCCCCTTACCTCCATAGTAGGTGTATGGAGTGGACCCCAACATTTCGGACTCGTCCAAGCGGCCACCGAGCGGACGCATGCGCCTCGGACTCCTGAAGAAGGCGTGTCTCCGGGCGCCCAGTGCGCTTAGCTGTTTCATCCTGCGCTCTTTGGACCGTCGGTTCTGGAACCACACCTGGGACCAGAGGAGGGGGCAGTGAGCTCGGTTGGGGGTGTCCTTTCCCAGCCCGGGGCCGCCTCTACTGGGTCCTAGCGCCTCCTGTCCTCCAATACTACCCGAGGCGGGGTCCGGGCCGGATTAGGCCGCAGGGGTGGAGAGGGGCCTCGGTGAACCAGCCAAGGGTGAAGGATTTTTCGGACCCTTGGGGCGACTCATAAAGACTCGGGCTTCCCGGTCCTCGGCCTGCCCGCGGCCTGACGGCTTTATAAAGGCCTCCCGCCCGGCCTGGGCCCCACCCCGGCTTCCCAGCCGGACTCTGGCCGTATGTCTGTCTGCCTGCCCAAGCATGGGCGCGGGGAGGAGGCACGTGAGGAAGTCGCCTTCTTCTCTGCTCCGTAGATGAGAGGAAGGGAGGGGGCCTGTCCCCAGCAAGGCTTAAAACCCTCCTCGAAGGGGCAGAGGCAGGATTCAGAGAGGTGAAGTGACTAGTGACTTTGGCTAGGAGTCTGACCGGAGCGCACCGACCCGGAGCGCACCGACCTGGAGCGCACGGTCTGCCGCGGGGCTCCTCTGAGCCTCCCAGCTTCTGGACGCTTCGGGGCTGGGCAAGGGGGATGGGAGGGGGCCCCGGGCCCGGCCGCACCTGGATGACACGCATGTTGAGGCCGGTCTCCTGCGCCAGCTGCTCGCGGATGTGGCGCGTGGGCTTGGGCGTGGCGGCGAAGGCGGCCTTGAGCGTCTCCAGCTGCTTGGCTTTGATGGTGGTGCGCGGGCCGCGCCGCTTGGTGCCCGAGTTCTGCTCTTCGTTTTCATTGTTGGCTGTCTCCTTGTCCGACGACGTCGAGTTGTCCGTCTCCTTGGGGTCGTCCTGGAGCGGGTCCTGGAGGTCCGGGGACAAACTGCGGTCCGTACAGGACGACACTGCGGGCGGGCGGAGTGGGAAGCGGACAGCAGCGTGATTGTGGAGCCCGAGGCCTCCACAATCGGGTAGCCGGTTCCAGCCAGCCCAGGCCACGGCCTCCCGCGCAGGGTTCTCTCGCGAACCCCGAGACAGCCCCTCCCCCAGGGGCCCCGCGTCCGCCCGCCGCCTCCAGGCCGGGCTGGGCCTCTGGAGCCGCCGTCTCGAGCCTTCTCAGCACTTTTCACCTATTGCCTGAGAAAGGAGGAGGCGCGCCCTCCGGAGAGCCCTGCCTTCTCTCTCCTGGGGGCATAAGAGGAGGGCACAGATCCCCTTGGGGCCTCAGATCTCCCTCTCCCTTCCCTCCTTCCAATTAGTGTCCTCCCAGGGCAGGTGGGAAGGGGAATTAATTGCCCAGCTCCAAAGCGGGAAAGGTGGCAACCTGGAAAAGGCCCCCGAATTGGAGGGGGGCGGGAAAAGAGCTGGTGGTCAGGCCCTGGAACTGCCTGGTGGGTGAGGGGGGGTGGAGAGCTCCGAGTGGGCCTGCGGAGCGCGCAGGGCGGGAAGCGGAGGGCGCCAGGCCCGCTGGCGGAGGAGCGAGGCCCCTACCTGAGTTGAGGCTGCCCTCCTTGAGGCTGGAGGAGCTCAGGTAGTCGTCCTTACACACGAACTTGTTCTCGTCGATGACGTACAGCTCCTCGCCCGTGGACAGCTGCTTGTTGCAGACCATGCAGGTGAAGCAGTTGAGGTGGAAGACTTTACTGCGGGCCTTGCGCACCAGGTCGCTGGGTGAGATGCCCTGCGCGCAGCCGGCGCACTTGGTGCCAAAGCGCCTGCAGACACAGCACAGCCGGTCACCTGTGCAGCCGGCCCCCCTCCAGTCCCCCGCCTCTG